GCCACCAGTGTGGTCTTCTGCTGTGGTACCCATCTGCTTCAGGGTTTCATCAGCATCTCACATTCAAAGATGCTCTTCTGCTTACCTTAGTTGTAATGAGTGGTTATTTCAGCTACTGTTGCCTTCCTACCAACTCAAAGCACTCTCTATGACCTCTGCTATTAACAAAGCTTTTTTCCCCTAAAACTGCTGCTCACTGTATATTTTTCTTTTTTTGGACAATTCTCTTGTAAACTCTAGAGATGATTGTGTGTCCTTGTTGAGCAGCAGTTTTGAAATGCTCAGACCAGCCCGGCTGGCACCAAGAGTCACGCCACATTCACTTACAGCCGCTTAAATCACCTATCTAACTTCAGCAGGCCGTCTTGAGAATGTCTACAAGCTTAGAGGAATTGAGCTCCTGCCGACACTTATTGGCCGACACTTACGTTAAAAAGCAGCTGTACGTGCACTTGACGTTTTTTCCGCCTTTTTTGCCCTCCCTCCCTGCCTTTCTCCCAAACTCACTGCCTCCCTTTCCCCTCCCAGCAGAGCAGCACGAAGCAGTAAAATTATATGAAACGTTTCACTTGATCAGAATTAGCATAGGCGGGCTCACAAAGCTCAAGCAGGATTTCGTAGTTCTCGGAGGGTTTCTGTCATTCTGACACAGACGAGAGTAACAAAACCAAAGACTGTCTGCAGTCAAAGCAAATAAGGTGAGCAATATCCTGAAACTGTTATATGTATGCATTGTGCCGGGGTAAGTGTGATGTTGTATTGGAGTTCATTTTCAGTAATTGTTTTTCAGGAACATAATGATCTACAAGCGTATAAAAAGCTGGCACGTGTGTGTGGCAAGGTGTTTCTGCGCAGTGTACCGGGGCACGGAGAAAAGTTGTCGTACCATAGGCACGAGAAGTGTGTGTGTGTGTGTGTGTGTGTGTGCGCGCGCGCATGTGTAAAAAGCTGGTTTTGTGTTTTTAACTCCTAGCAGGCAAATCTGATTTCTTAGAAACTCCATGCTCCGCTGAAAATAAGTTCACCTCGTGGTTTACCATGACTCATCTTGTCATATGTACTTGGCTCACATTGCACAGCTCTGTGAAAGGAAAAGCAAATTCTCAGCCTGATTAGATTAGTAGAACTTTAACACTGACTCTTAATGTATAACCAAACCCTTTGGGAAGGCTTTATGGTTAATGATCTCATGCACTCACCTAACTTTTTAACTTTTTGTTGTCTTCCCCCCTTTATGTCTTTTGATTTAGGTCACGATGAGTGGGGGGGTCAACGTGAAGTCAGTTCCCCGTGGGCCTCCCTCATCAGGAATACCCCTCCCTCGCAGTCTTCTGCCTTCCTCTCCTAAAACAGAACCACGCCGCCGGGCGAGTGACCTGCCCAGGCCCTCAAAACAGACCCCTAAGCACACGCCTGCGAACACGCCTGCACACTCCCCGTCACTTTGTCCAAGAAACTCCAGTATCCCTGGGCCTTCCTCCACAGATGCCCTGAGAGATGCCTGCCTTAAAAGTCAGCTCTTCCAGCGAACCGGAGCTCTTCCAATTCCCCAGGTGTCGAGATCTGCCTACAGCAGCCCGCTGACCCAGCGACGAGTACATCCGCCACACTCAAAAGACACGCTAGACCTGGGAAAATCGCAAATCCTCTCCCAATTACCCCAGGATGGCAATCGCAACAGAAGCACCTTTGCAAATAAGAATCAAGCGTATGGAGCCGGCAACCTACGTCCACCGCTCGGTTTTAGCAGAGGAGACAATTCAAACATTGCAACCCAATCAATGGCTGATGCGATACCAGGAAGGAAGGAAGAGCCTCCCAAAAACCATCCAGCCAAATCCGTCACACTCAGCAACTGTAACATTCGGCCCACTCTTCTTTACTCAAACCATCACACCATCAGAGATCATAGTGACTCTGGCAGCCAATCAGATGAGGAAATGGGAACTCCTGAGGAGAGCAGTCCAGCTTCCTCTCCTCTTCCCTTACCGTTGCCAGCTATCGCATTTACCATGCCAGTAACGTCCAAGCAGGTTGTTGATACACAGGATCAGGAGGCAACATCTGAAGAGACACACATACCCAGAGTCAACATGGCTGCTGTGGCTCCCTTCAGTCACAGGTAAGGGGTCTTTCATCACACAAGCACAACTGAAGCAAGAGTTATAAAGCCTTCCATTATGAGTCCTTTACCACTGACCCCCCTTGTAATTATCATGTGATCATTTCCTTTACACATAGAAGTCATCCTCAGGACACTAAAGACCTGCCACAGAGGCCTCAGTATCTTTTCCTGCAACACGCACACACACACAGAGCAGAGCTGATTGTTAAAGTGTCTTCTTGTAGCCCCTGGGCTGACACCGTATACTCTAGGGCTGCCACAAACGATTATTCTGATAGTCGACTAGTCACCGATTATTTTTGCGATTAGTCGACTAATCAGATCATCATCCATTGGACGTAAAACGGACAGCTTATTGCACCAGCAGCATCTGCTCTTATATAACTATTATTAGATTACAGCTTTAAGTGTTTAAGGTATGTGCTAACTAAAAATAAAGACAAGATGATAGTTTATTAAATTTTAATTAAATGTGCAGGTTGTTTCATTGGAGTTTAATAAGCTCAGCCGATTTACTCAGGAACAAATAAAATACTGAAAAAAGCCAAACGATAACATTTTTAAGTTATCTAAATGACTTATATATCATGTTTAACCTGAGTAGCGAAAGGGGGCGGTGGGTTTGAAAATGATTAGCTGGGAGTCCGGTGTTCTCACGGCTCTAGTGAGCCTAGCCCCCGGCTAGCTATCGAGCTAGTGGGTAACAGACGTCTCCGAAAACGTCGGAGCGCTTTTGAAAATATGTGGTGTCTTGATAAACTGAGCAGATATTTGAGGTTTACACAGCTACATTCTCGCCTGAAAATATGTTGAATGTTTATTTTGCGACCCAGAAAGAATAATAAGAGTAATATTAAAACTAACTAGCTGCCGCCATTGTTGGAAACTGAGCTGGGCCGCGCTATGAATTCTGGGACACAGCTTCTTCTTCTTCTTCTTCGGGGTTTAACGGCAGCTGGCATCCTTGTCCATGCAGTGCTGCCATCTTCTGTTTCAGTCCGTTATTACACTCTTAACTCCTACTACTTATTCCTGCGTCTTTTGTGATCTTACAAAGCTTCAAACGACGCGTCGACTATTAAATCAGTCGTCGACGATTTTGATAGTCGACGTAATCGTGGCAGCTCTAGTATACTCCCATGCACACAGTTTTTTATGTTACTAAAAGCACACTGTACAAAATCTACATTTAATAAAACATTTTAAGTTTCTTTTTTCTTTATTAATGACAGGATTATATACAGTTCTTTGCACATAACTGTTTCAGCCTTTTTCTGTTTATATGATTTGCTTTTGTGGAAATAATTGAGATAGTCACCGCCTCTCTTCTTCTACTGTCAAACACAGCAGGTTATGCATTTGATTGTAAAGGATATGATTTGCATGTTCAGTAACAGATGTGTGATGGCTGCGTTTGTGATGTGTTGACAGGCTGCAGGCAGTGAGTGAATTTTCTGTGGATGAACTGAGTGACTGCTCATCTGGATCCATAGAAGTCTGCTGTGATGACCTGACACCAGGTTAGACTCACACAGCAGTAACACACATCTCCTCTCCTTCCTCCCTTTCCTTAGCTAAACAAAACTTGGTCCAGTTTTTTCTGCCCTGTTAAGATTAGGGCACCAAGATGCCAAGAGCACTTCTGGCAGGTACGAGTGATGTGTGCTTTCTGGCAGCCAGACGTTTACTGCGACAGAGTCATAAGTGGCGTCAGACACAACAAGCCAGTGGCTGACCTTTGGCTCTCATTGTAGAACCTGAATAGACTCAGTGAAAGGGACAACCAGTCTTTGTCCAAATGTATGTCTGTCACGCTGCAATTCATCAGTCAGGAGCCATGTCTGAAGTTAGGTGGTGTAATTTTCTGTCTCAGCCTGGGGTTCTGCTGAGTACCGTAGTCCCTGGATGAACAGAAAAGGGAGATGTGCTCAGGATGTTAGGATGAAGGATGTTGACACTGGTGATGTGGGTCAGTAATGGGATGAAATGGGGCACTTCTTAACTTGCTGCCAGGCAGCATTATATGCACATTGATTTCATATTCATCCAAGAGCTGTTGTAGAGTTCGAACCCATTCTTCCCTCTCACAGTTCCTCTTTTCAGATTTCGTTGACCTAAAAAGTCACAGTCCCAGCACGACCCCATCCCTGTCCTGATCCTGTGGCTTTTGAGTAATGCTTTGCTCTGTACTCACGGCTATAGTTACGCATTGTAGTGGTCAGTCTGAGTCCAAGAATGTGAACGTGCTTCTGAGAAATGACTTTTTCAGTGGCTGAGTGAATCATTCCTTTTGATGTGGTGTCAGTTAAACGGAAAGACGATCAACTGCTTTTTAGTTATTATATGTATGTTAAAATATGCACAGTGTAGTCCGAAATAACTTCAAGTTATAATGGATTTACATATGCATCACACTGTGCCATATATTAGGTGAATTACAGCCGTTTCTATATGTAATGTCTACGTTCAGGGACAATATAGCACAGTGTCATTTAATTAATAACCTTTAAAGGTACAGTCAGTCATTTTTTTGAGGTTAATTAGTGGAAAAAAGAATATTGAATTCATAAATCTGAGGCTTCTAATTAACTGATGCATTCTTATAAACTTAGAATTAATCCATAAAAAATGGACAGGAGTGGGTACTGGTTTGTGCAAACCGCCATGCTGACCCGCCATCTTGAACACAGTGGCTGACATGGAGATCGCTGTTCTCCTTAATTATGTTTTATTTATGCAGCTTGAGACCGGCCACATAGATAGTAGAGCAAAGGCAGAGGAGAAGATAACTTGTAGGCGTTTGCGTGCTGTGGAGGCAAAATCTAATCAGTGTGTACACCTTCAGGCTCAAGATATGAAGGAAATTAAAATGCAAAGCAAAGATGCGACTGGTATCTCTCAACCTCTTCCTCCTAACCCCAAGCCTCATTAACTGAACTGAAGTTGGAGCTCTAATGCACAAAAGTGCACAAACATGCTTATTTATTCCCAATATTTTTGCCTTGTCTGGACAGCTGACTAAATATTGTCTAAACAACAATAACAGCTGGTTGTAAGCTAACAATATGTCAATTAGCCTTAAGTGTCCTAAAAATCACAGTTTCCCTGTGAAAACAGTTTGATTACATTCTAAGTGTCACAGTGATCCACCCAGAATATTTCACTAAGAGTGGCTAACAGCAGCTAACAGAGTCTAACAGTAGCTATCAGAGGCTAATAGCAACACTTAACAACAGAAAAGTCAACAACTCACCTCAGTATTGCTGCCATCGAACAGAAGCGAGCTTCACTGACTCATCAACTTGGATTGGAGTCCTTTCACAAATATTTACGGCGTCCTCTAGACTCACCCAGAGTAAATACACATGGATACCTGGCAAGCAACAGACAGACAGCCTACACTAGCTAAATGCTGAATTAGCTAGTGTAGGCTGTCGTATGCATCTCTAGAGATAGCTGTAAAGTACAACTTGTCTGCTTGGCAGAGAACTACAAGCTCAAGGCAGTAGTTTGAGTTTGAACATACATTGTGTCACAAGAATAGAGTTATTTGCAAATGAAACCTTTATAAAACCTTTAACCATCTGGTTGTGGAAAAGGGGGATGGGAACTGGTGGTGGACCAGCCCTAGTCTTTAAGGGCCTCTGGCTGTCTTGGGGCTAGTTTTGGCCTTTTAATTGGTGCCTAGCAGGCGTTAGAAACAGAACCAAAGCATCTTTGACTCCTCTGAAGCTGCATTTACATGGATGGTGGGCTGGCACTGTAATAACTGTAATTTAGCAAGTGGAGGAAGGGAGGGAAACGGGGTGGAAAGCAAAGTTTGTAGGGAAGGAAGGAGGGAGAGGAGTGAGAGATGAAAGACCAATGAGGTCAGTGGGTTGATGAATTTCATTTTGTTTAAGGAGGACGGAGAATAAACAATAAGTGTGTGCACTGAGATGAAAAGACAGATTATTAAATGTTGGTTAAATTTTTACAAACTCCTGGTGGTGAGCAAACACGATAAAGCCCAGTTATTTGATGTGGGACTGGTTGCTCTTTGTGGCGAGAGTCGATCTCCTTAAATGTAATATTCTCTATATGCGTTAGATTGAATCAGGGTAACGCGATCCGCTCGTACATCTTTTAACTGAGACTCTAATGAAGATCTGATTGTTTAATGTGATTGTAGGACCATGTGCTCTTTCAATTAGACCCCAGAACTCCTGACCCTATTACTCTCTAGAGAGGTGTATCTGAGAATGGGTTTTTATCCGAGGCTGTGTGTGTATGTGTGCTGATGTATGCACAAGTGACAGTGCACAGATGGCTTTTGAAAGATAAATGTGATGTGGGTTGTGTATCATTTTTCATCCCTGCAATATTTTGTCCTAAAATTCCCAATGGACAAAATGTTGCAGTCTCAAGTGCACACACACACACACACACACC